CGACGCGTCCAGTGCCACCAGGACCAGAGCGTCTGTTTCCAGGGCAATGGCCAGATGAACATTGGTGAGAGGCTGAAGCAAATGGCGGGCTGGCCCAGGATAGGGAGGACCTGAGGGCAGACAGAGGCTTTCCTTGGTCTAAGTGGGGAGGCAGACCAAAGAAGAAGACATGGGCGGTGGTGGTTGTGGTCTGAAGGAGGCATGACTCTGACCTAAGGACAAAGACTTGTAGGCTGCGGGAGGCGGCTCCACCGCGCTCTGAGAGGAGATGTGTGTGGCCCTGGTCTACAGAGAGACCTGACATGTGTCAGAGGACGCAGGCCTGGCCCCTGCCTGCTAAGGCAGAGTTCATGGGGGGTCCCTCCCATGGCCTGACCCCTCCCCACTATTCACCCAGGCAACTTCTCGGTGCCCGTGTACATCCGGACCTGCCACCGGCCGTCCTGCACCACCATGGGTACCACCAGCCCCTGGACGTCCATCGACCTGCAGGGCTACTGCTGCGAGGGTCACCTCTGCAACAGGGACTCGGTGACACAGACCCTCCCCGGCGTCACGTCCCCAGCCCCTCCCCGGGCTCCCCGAATCCTGATCCTGCTGCTTGTTGCTCCACTACTGGCCATCGCTCTGGGAGGGTCCTTCGGGATCCCCGCGTAGACAGGGCCTCCAGGATCGCTTCGCTTTTCGCCACTCGAGAAGCCCCTAGTGTGGTGGGCTCCCTTAAAAAAATGGCATCAAAATAAGAACCTCACCCCTGTCGCTCTAGCCGCAGCCTTCCATCCCTCTAACCATCCTTCCTTCCTCCCGGCCACTGTCCCCACCTCCTGAAGGCCCGTGTACCCGGGAACTAATCAATGCATTGATTGAGCGAGGCCCCTCAAAATCCAACCAGCTTTCAACAGAGCCACCCTGCTCAGGAAGCCTTCAACGCGTGAGCCTTTTGTGACACCTCACGGCCCAACCGTGCCACTCGCCTTTAAAACCATTTCTCACAAGAGTGATGGTAATCCCAGCACCCAAGAGGCTGAGGCAGGAGGATCACTACTTCAAGGCCAAGCTGGACTACACGGCAAGAAATTAGGTCCGGCCTTGAGCTATACTGTGAGACCAGTCAGGAGGGGACAGCACACCTTTAATCCCAGCACGCTGGAGGCAGATGTAGACGGGTCTGTGAGTTTGAGGTCAACCTGGTCCACATAGTGAGTTTCAGGACAGTCAAGGCTGCATAGTGAGACCCTGTTTCAAAGGAAAGAAAAAGGGGAGAGAGAGGGGGAAAGGACGGAGAGAGAACAAAACCCCTGCTTTTCAGTATCTCTGTAGCAGAACTGACATCCATACTACAACCCAGCAATCACACTCCTGGCTCTACCACGCCAACAGAAATCGGTTCATATGCTCCTCCAAACTATGTAGACTAGTAGGACAGTCCATACCAGCCACAAAACTGAAAACAACACCAGTAAATACGAACAGCCAAATGGGACGAGGAGGTTATACTTTAGTCACACAGTGAAGTACTGCATAGCCATGAAAAATGTCAATTACCTTGGAAGAACCTCTGCAAAAGTCGTGTTGAGCAAAATAAGAAAGACACACATAAGATTCCTTTCAAAACAAAGTATAAATGTTGTTTAAAAAAAAAACAACAGCAACTAGTGGGCTCAGTTAGAAGTCAGAAGAGTGATTATCTTTGGGGACAAGTGACCAGAAGAGGGAATATGGGGTGTTTGGAGGTCTGGACATTGAGTTATGAGATCTAAGAATTCACTGATCTAATTTTCTTCCACTTTTCACTAAACTTTCTGTTGTTGTTTTGGGAAAAGGTCTCGTGTAGCCCAGGCTGGCCTCAAACTCATTGTGTAGCCTAGAATGATCCTGAATTCTTCTTCTTCTTCTTTTTTTTTTTTTCCGAGACAGGGTTTCTCTGTGGCTTTGGAGGCTGTCCTGGAACTAGCTCTTGTAGACCAGGCTGGTTTCGAACTCACATAGATCCACCTACCTCTGCCTCCCGAGTGCTGGGATTAAAAGCGTGTGCCGCCACCACCACCTAGCGACTCTGAATTCTTGATCCTTTTATCTTTACCTGCCAGACACTGGGATGAGAAATTCAAGCCATCACACCTGTCTTTTCTCATCTTTCCACATATATATATTATTTGCAATAAAAGGTTTTTAAAATGTGCAAACTTTATTGATGGGAAAGAGGCAGTTAAAGGGGATGCTGGGGGCAACAACCAAGCCCTCCCACCCTTTTCTTAAAATTGCCTATTTAGGGACAAGTAGCTGAACAGAGGGAAGAGTTGGGGTTCTGTCTCCTCACACCAGCTTTTGAATTTTAGGCAGCACGTTAAATGGCAAGGATTGAGATGCCACGAACTTATGGTTCCAGACTCTGGGAAGCTGACATAAGGGGTTCTTAAGTTCGAGGCCAGCACAAGTAACTTAGTGGGACTCTGTCTCACATTTTAAAAACAAGCCAGGTGGCAGTGGTGCACGCCTTTGATCCCAGCACTCGGGAGGCAAAGGCAGGTGGATCTCTGAGTTCTAGGACAGCTTAGTCTATAGAGTGAATTCTAGGACAGCCAGGGCTATGCAGAGAAATTGTCTAAAAAAAAAAAATGGAAAAAAGCCAGGTGGTGATAGCATGTGCTTTTAGTCCCAGCACTTGGGAGACAGAGGCAAGTGAATCTCAGTGAGTTCAAGGATGACAGCCCAGTCTACAGAGGGAGTTCCAGGACAGCCAGGAGTCTTACACAGAGAAAACCAAAGGAAAAAAAAAAGAGTGACTTGGGGAGAAAGGGATTATTTCGTCTCACAGCCATTCCATCAGCCCAAGGAACCATCCATCATAGTGGAGAATCAGGGTGTGGCTGGTCACTTTGTATCCGTAATCAGAACCAGAACACTGGATGCTGGCGCTTGGCTCACTTCCTCCCTACTGTCCGGTGTGGACTGTGTCACCCACGGTTAAGGTAGGTCTTCTCCTCTCAACTAGCTCAACATGGGATCTCCTTCTCAGATGTTTGTCTCCGGGTGGCTCTAGCTCCTGTAAAGTTGCCCGTCAGGGCATGGGAGGTGACCGTGGTGAGGATGCAGCCAGAGCCATGTCCTAAGGGATGAGTAGGAGCTCGCCAGGAGGACGCAGGCAAAGGGACCAGTCTGTGCTAAGGACTCACAAGCACTTGTTGGACGGCAAGAGCACAGGGCAGAGACGGGAGTAAGAAAAGAGGGGCAGGAAGAGGCTTTGAGCAGCCATTTGGAACCTGTTCTTCTGGGCTGGTGTGTCCCCAGCCCCAGCAATTAGTCAGAGCCAGTCTGCCCTCCTGATATGGAAAGATAGAGTCACAACCTGGAGGCTCGCAGTGGGTGAAACTGGATGAGAGTCAGGTATGGGAGAGGGCACAACCCTTATTCCAGCTCTCCCGAGGTGGAGGAGGGGATCAGGAATTCACTGTCTATCTCTGATACACAGTGTCTAGCCCGAGCTACATTGCTGATGCACAATGTCTAGCCTGAGCTGCATCCCCTGATACACAATGTCTAGCCTGAGCTACCTCCTCTGAAACACAATGTCTAGCCTGAGATACCTCCCCAGATACACAACATCTAGCCTGAGCTACTTCCCTGATACATAATGTCTAGCCTGAGCTACTTCCCTGATACATAATGTCTAGCCTGAGCTACTTCCCTGATACATAATGTCTAGCCTGAGCTACTTCCCTGATACATAATGTCTAGCCTGAGCTACTTCCCCTGATACACAATGTCTATCCTGAGATACCTCCCCGATACACAATGTCTAGCCTGAGCTACATCCCTGATACATAATGTCTAGCCTGAGCTATATAAGACCTTATCTCAAAACAAACAAACAAACAGAAACAAGCAAAAGGAGTATGATCCAGTAAGGGAAGTCCAAAAAAAGAACTGGAGGGGAAATTTGATGGGCATGGATGCAGGAGAAGAAACCTAGACGGGACAAAGCAGTTAAGAGGAGTTTTTAGCACCAAGTGCATAGAGTCGGGATAGGGCCTGTGAATGAATAAAGGTACTTGCCACAAAAATCTGGCGACCTGAGTTCAGTCCCTGGATCCCACACGTTGGAAGGAGAGAGCAGACTCCCCAAAGTTGTCCTCTGACCTTCACACATGTGCACATGCACACACCTACACAAGAAAAATAAACACAATTTAGAAAATGAATTTAAAGAGTTGGGGTGTGTTAATATGTGAAGAAGACGAGCAGGGAAAGGGAGACTTGGCCCCGAAGGGCCTAGAAATATCTCGTGCCAACAAGCCATCTCAGTTCCCTCTACAGCCAGTGGGAGCCATGGAGGGATCTAGAGGTGGAGAAGAACTGTTGGACCCCAAAGTGAAGTCCAACTCCGGGAGACGCACCCCACAGAGTCACTCACAGGACACAAGTTTGATGCAAAAGCAAAAGGATTTTATTCCAATGTGTTGGGGTCGTTCCCTGGGAAGAGAACAGCCCCTTGTTTCCAAAGCAGGTAGTTTTTATGTCTTTTTGGTCTCTAGGCAGGAGTGTGACAACATATTGATTGGCTGTATCATACATGAGTCATTTACTGATTGGTTGGGAACTGAACTTACAATTTTGCCCACAAGGGGTTTGGAATGTTATTTTGGTTTTTACATCTGCAAGGCCATGGGACAGCTAGTGGTTTTTCTGGGAACAGAGTGACTTATATTTATTTTCAAAACTTGGGTGCTCTGGAGCCGGGTAACCCATAACAATTTTTAGAAACCAGACAGTTGTTGAAGCTAATAGAAACTAGGAATAACAATTTCCAGAGAGTGATCATCATGACCAACCATCTCATGTATTCTTTGTTCCAGAGCTGTGTGTGGCCAGAGTGATTTTTAAATACATGCTGGTGTGTATCAGGCTAGGCTTGACTTGGGGTCTTTCAGAACATGGTGAAAGCCAAGATATATGACCAGACCAGAGCCAGGGGTATAGAGGGAGAAGGCCGGCAAGGGTGACTCTCTTCCAAGTCTCCAAGCCCAGATGGAAAAGGAAAGGCGGTGGGTAGGGGCAGGGATATGTGAGGGCTATGGGAACACTGTCGTAGCCTGGCCGGTCTCAACTCCAAACCACGACAGCCATGAAGTTCTGCCTGAGTTGGGGAGCTTGGACTTGGAACCTCCTAGCAACCCAGAGGCGATAAAGACCAAACACAGGCATCTTGTCATCTTTAGAGAGCTCTCAGTTCCATGCTGCAAAACTGGAGTCTCTTGTTTATTTAGTATCCTCTTGGCTGTTTCTTAACCATGATTCTGTCCCTACAAAGAGGCCATTTCTGTCGTTCTGTTCACTCCTCTCTGCTAGATGGCTCCTAACTCTCTGTTCTGACTTGTTACTTACACACCAGGTGCAGGCCTATTCAAATGCTTAGTTCTGTAGAGATGCAAACTAGGAGGCATTCTATACTGTGGCTATGCTAAACAATAGCAGACTTGCTTGAAATAGCAATAGTTGGCCGGAGCTCCCGGTTGCTCCTGTTTAGTGAATCTGGAGGCTGGACCTCAAGACATTCCATATTTTGGTTCCCGACAGAACATCCTTCTCCTGTGGAGGTGGAGAGGATGAGTGTGACGCTAACGACCCTGCATGGGATCCTGCAGACAGTCTCCACCCTCTCAGAGTGGCAGAGGCTGGGGGATCCCCTGGCTGTTCTTATTCCAAAGCAGACCTTTTTGTCTTTTTAAAATCGGTGGTGGTGCACGCCTTTTATCCCAGCACTCGGGAGGCAGAGGCAGGCAGATCTCTGTGAGTTCGAGACCAGCCTGGTCTACAGAGCGAGTTCCAGGACAGCCTTCAAAGCTACATTAAAACCCCATCTCAAAAAAAAAAAAAAAAAAAAAAAAAAAAAAAAAAAAA